ACAAAAGAATACATAGTTAAATAATAAGTCATATGAGATAACTGATCTTGTTGCACAAACAAAAAAACATTAACCTTTAAAGAAAATTTTGAAACGATAATCAATGATATGATAAACTTCAAAAGACATTGTTAACAATACAATAATAATTAAAATTACTATAATAAACTTTGAAGGATATCATTGACAATATAATGTTAATTGAAAATCGTAATGATATAAATACAAGTGATGACCATCTACTGGTCAAAAATTGATAAATCATATACACATCAGGTAACCAATATATACATGGTATATTCCTAATATCAGGCATATATTGGATACCCGATAGGTGTAGAAAATATTTTTTTATACTTATCGAGTACCTGATATATATATAAAATATTTTTTATACCTATTGGGTACCTGATATATGTTTGATATTAGGAATGTACCATGCACATATCGAGTATCCGATGTGTGTATGATTTATCAATTTTCAACTAGTGTAAGTAGTATTAGTCTATTATTCTTTTTTTTTGAAAAATATTTCATTTTGTTTTTGGTCAAAATAAAAAGTTGACAAAGAAACTTTGACTATAGAGGATAATCTTTTGTTGGAACTTTCTATATGTAGATAAATCAAAATCAAATTATAAAAAAATTTGATAAATATGAAAAGATATAGAATATTAAATTATAATAGATTTATTAAAAAACTTAATTCCTTCTATACTAGATGTATATGTAATTTTATTTAGAACAGGTTTGTTTATATTGAAACAGTCTTTTGAATTTGAACATTTGTCTTAAAGTGAAAACAAAAAAACTATAATAAAGTACTATTAATATTTTTATCTGATATTTTTTATTGAAAAAAAAACCATTTACTTTTTTATAATTTACTTCAAAATCAATTACCAAGCTTTAATGATTATTATGTGAAAAATACACATAGCAAAATTTAAGCAAATATATTAGTCAATGTAACAGTTGAAAACTTTATTAAACAAGCTTATGTTATAAGTAAATTTTTAAATTTTCTTATATAATGTTTAAATTTTTTTTTAAATTTTTATTTCATTTATATAATATATAGTAAATCATAATCCAATGTTCAAAGATACTTATTGTAAAATCCAACACTATCCATATAATATTCCAATGTTGAATTTTTTATTCAATAAAACCAATATTTTTTTATTACAATATTTTTGTGACTTATATTATTGTTAAATGAAGAAGTAGATTTGTAAAGATTATCAACTGGATACAGTACATCTTTTCTATCACAAAATGGATTATGTGACAGTTATAAACTTCCAATTAATGAAACAAACAGTATGACATTTATTTGTGAACATGGATATCATTTGAACTGTTATAATGGAAAATGTAAATATTGTGAGAAATTTTATAAAAAAGTAATTTTTGAAAATGTTGATTCATTTTTAAAATGAATAAAAAAAAAGTTCAGATGTATTTACACAGGAGGATTTGAATAATACTGAGAAAGAGGAGGAACAATATGATAGTGTTGAAGAAATTCAAGATATTTCATATAAATTAGAAATAGAAATTAATAATATAAAAAATTGGTAAATAATAATATGAATAATGTAAAAGAAAAAAATATAATTCATTAAATATATATTTCAAATTAATAAAAAAATAATTAAAATAAACTTGTGCAAATAAATTTATATCAATATTATATTAGAATTTACCACTAAGAGAAGTCATGGAATCATAGAAATCATAGAGATGGGTCACCACTTTTTAATAAAGAACCCTCTAAAAATAATGCAGTCATATGATATACTTTTTTTCTATACGAAAAATTTGTGTAACATGATGATCAAAAATGAACTTCCGTCATGCTAATCTCGAATATTTTTAAATGCATTAATCCAAATTAGAAGTTTTATTAAACGCGAAAAAAGTATTAGGTTCGCTTTTTTTATAAATTTATAGACCAATAGGTTTTAAAAAAATCGGCCAACTTTTTTATTAATTAAAATCGAATATGTAAAATGCGAGTAACAAACAAATTCTTTTTAAGTTAAACAATTCAAGTTTACAAACAAGTTCATTTTTCTTGTATGAAATTGAAACACAAAAAGGAAAAAAAAAGGACGAAGAACGGGCTGCAAGTTTCGTCGTCGAATGAAGGGCGGCAATCTGTAGTGTTACAATTTTTTTTTTTCTAGTCATTTTTGTGAAGTTTAATAAAATAAATTTTCGCTTAAAATGACGATAATAATAGCCATTTTGACAATCACGAAGATCAATACTGAGAAAGTAACTTCTCCGCCCTGTTGTGCTTAAACTTGCCCAAGAGGAAAATCCCGGGTTCCTTTTTTTTAATATAAAAAATTAATTTATACACTTATGCATAGTTCATATGTAATGTGTATTTTTTTCCACAAACCTTATCAAACACCCGTGTGATTGCGAAAAAGGCTCAAGTCGTTACATTTTTCACGCCGGATGAAAATGGTTTGTATAATTCCTTGGATGTTTCTTTTTTCGCCTTGCCTAAAAGCGAACGAAAAAAAATTTAATAATAATTCAAATACAGTATGGTAATTCCAAAAATGGCAATATATGCAAAAAAAAGTAACACGAGAAATATAATATATACAAATAATGTACGGCAGCTTTGCAAAAATTCCTAATTTCGAACAAACAATAAAATTCTTCTTTGTTCACATGAAATCATGTCAACTAACGAATACAAATAATAGTGCAATATGAATATGATATATCGTCTTCATATCTCTAAATTATAAAACACTTTTTTATACTTACCGTATTTATTATTTAAAATACAATTTTCTTATTACTGGTGCAGCAACTATTCCGATGCTAACCAATGTTGCTATTGACGCTGTGACAATACTATTCCATTGTTCTTCATTTCGGATTTTCTCTTTTTCAAGTATCTCCATTTTAATTTGTGCATTTTCCAACTCTTTTTGTAGTATCAAATTTTCCCGTTTAATCTTTTCAATGGCTAATTTTAACAATTCAATTTGTTTCTTTAATGTTATTTTATCCTTTTTGTGCTTTTCTAGTTTCTTTTTTTCTAATTTAATTGTTTCTATCCATTCCATTCTTCTTGTCACCCAATCATTGTCGTTTTCCAATGATTGATCAATTGCTTCCATCAATGCTTTAGATAAATAATTTATCATTGGATCTTCTGATTTTAATGATAATTTTAATATAGGGTTTTCTTCAAATATTAATATTGAGGGACCTGCTAATCCACCAGATGGAAAAATAAATGGAGTTGTATAATCAACGCTTTCGGGTATTAATGAATGTTTTTGTAAATGATTTGTATTATTTTGCGAATTTGCACTATAAAATTTTTATTTATGTGAGAAATAGTTCGAAGTAGAAGATAAGAAAGAAATACAAATAACAAAAAATAATAATAATAATAATAATATATATATATAATATACCAGTAAGAAATTATTTGGGTCTCCGGATTTTCGCAAAAAATATTGGGATCATTGGTGTGTTCTATTAAAGTTATACTACTGGTATCACTATAAGATGTTTTATGCTTCATTTTTGGTATTGAAATCGTAGACATTGGTGACATTGACGACACTAGCGAATTTAAATTATCATCTTTAAAAGAATTTAATAATGTTTTATCATTGTTATTATTGGGGGATGTTGAAAATATTTGCGGTTGAACTTTTGGAGAAATTGGGTACACTTTTGATTGACAATTCGAAGATGAATCAAGTGGCGATAATTGATTTCTTGAAGATATAAAAGTTTTTGGAGTTGTATCCACATTCAAAGCATTAAAAGTAGTATCTTCGGAATCCTGAGAACTTTTGTAAGTAGGGGAAAGCGATAAATCAAGTTTCATTTCTGCAGATGAAGTATATTGATGAAATGTATCGAATAAAAACAATGAATTTGACTTGGATGAATTTTTAGATAATTTAGTGTTTTGAATCATGTTTGTTTTTTTTTTAAGACTATAAAGAAGAAATCGAAGTTAAGAAAAGGCGCGTTAAAAATTATTCAATTACTGCAAATAAGCAATTCCTGATGTTTATAAGTAGTAAAAGGAGAGAAAGGTTCGTTTCATAATTTATAGCTTTTATAATCGAAAATTTTTTTTTAATATTCCCATTTTCGTACAGGCAAGTATAATTTTTTAATCTATGATGGATTAATATAAATTATTATAGTTAATTATTTTTGAACGATTAAGGTTAAAATGTTTTATACAAAATGTTCTATTGATCTAGCTACTATTGTCCTCCTTTATTGGTACACAAATCTCGTGATCTTATATAAGTTATAATATGTATTACATTAAGTGAAACAAAGAAATTTGACACAGGATTTTTTCATGCAATAACATGTCAATATCGATTGATTCGATAGATAAATTTTTTTTTACTCAATCATAAATTGCATTTAGAAACTTGAAAAAGGGCGTCACCGAGTTCAAAACTTCCATATTGAGCTTGAATCAGACACCAAAAGTTTAAATAAAATGTGTGCATGATTAAAATTTTCATTACTCTATCCAAACGTGCAAACATTATTATCACCTCATTCATGACGTAACTCTTTTTTAATCTCAAAAATCACCGAACTATACTTGACATCGAAGTTGAACTGGTAATTTTGCCGACCATGAAAAATAGAAATAAAAAACTGATTTTTATTATAAAATTAATAATACGTAATTGCATATATAATTTATAATTTACGCGATTTTTAAGATGGCCGACGTAATCACGGAAGTTATATTTGATATGGTTGACCTATATTTTGACGTGATTAGGCACCATCTGTAAATGATTATAAATCTTCTTACATGTAAAAATTTACATTTTGTATTTTAATAATTAGTCATTTCAAATTAATGTCTCAAAAATAAATCATAAAAAATAATGTGTATTATCAATATTTGAAGTGAATAATTTAATAAATTTGTTCAAGAAATAGAAATAATCTTTTTTTGACCATTGCTTTTATGTGGTTTCATTTTCATTTTTTTTTTCTTTATACCACCATTTTTAACATTTAAAATATTTTTTTTTTCTCATTGCTTAGTATGCTTTTACTTTCACTTTCTTTTTTTTGATTTTTTGGTAATAGAGAATGATTTCTTTTTAGAAGAGCCAGTCATATCCATTTCGAAAATTTTATTCCCAACCAATTTCCTATTACTATTACTATTAACTTTTTTTGGTAACCCCTTAGAAGATTCTTTTGATACTTTTAAGATTTTTTTAGGTCTCTGTGCTTTCTTTGCTGACTTTATAACTTTCATAGTTTCAGATTTGTTCGTTGAATCATCTTTCATTTGAATACTTCGTCTTTTTTTCCTTGACATACCAGCATATTTATTGCGTTTTTGTTTCAATTTTGTTGATTCTTCTAAATCCTCCCTTTCTCGTTTCCTCTTCTTTATCAACTCTGGACTCTCGAATTTATCGTTGTATTTTTCTGTTGCTATATTCCTTGATTGCTTTTTCTTTTGTTCAGATTGAAACCATGTTCTTGCTGGCCTATTATAAATTTCTTTTTCATGTGTTAGAAGATTTTGATTTTTTTGTAATTCCATTTCAGCTTGTCTTATGGCCTTTTCTTCTTTTTCTTCTTGCAATATTTCTTTTATTTGATCCTTTAATTTATCGAGTTTATCACGAAATTCTATTAACATATTAGGATCAATTGTACGACGTTTAGCTTGATCTTGAGGTGTATGTTTCATAACTGATTTTAAAATTTTACGGTCTGCTTCTCCAGTTAACGTCACTGATCTATAATATAATACAAATCAAATATTGTAAAATGAATAAAATATTTTCAAAAAGATTATTTTCTTTATAAATATCACCTCATACCTTCCTTTACGTCCCGCACGTGCTGTTCGACCAACTCGATGTATATAATGTTCATAACTTTGTGGCATATTATAATTGATAACAGTCTCAATTCCCTTTATGTCAAGGCCACGTGATGCCAAATCTGTAGCCAAAAGAAAATCCACTTCTCCATCTTTGAATGTTTCCAGAGCTTCCAAACGCTATTTATTCAGTTAGAATTTTTTTTTTTTTTTTTTTGAAATAAATGATGAATTTCAATATAATTCTTATAGAATATATTTGTATACATACTTGTTCCTGTGACAAATTTCCATGTAATTCAGCAGCCTTTAATCCAAATAATCCAAAAATAATTTTCATTTCATGAGCTATCGCTTTACTTCGGAAAAATATTATGATACGGTGATGAAATATTTGTTTGCATAATACAAGTAATATTGCTGCTCGATCATCTTCACGATTTTCCCTTACTCGAACAAATTCTTGTGTAAGTTGTGTCGACGTTGTCTTCGCGGGATCAACCATTAGTCTTATAGGGCGATTTAAAGAGAGTCGAATTAATTCATCAATATTATCAGTCATAGTAGCAGAAAATAACATCGTTTGCCTTGATTTGGGACAGTTTTTAACAATTTCGTTTAATTCATCTGCAAATCCATCTTCTAGCATTCTTACGAAGAAAAAAAAAATTAGAATGTGAAATTAATGAAAAATCATTATTATAAAATATTAATCCTAAAATTTTATAATACCTATCAGCTTCATCAATAATCAAAATCTCAATTTTATCCAAGGTAAAAGAAGGTGAATTGCGTATGTGATCAATCAATCTCCCCGGAGTAGCAATAACAATGTCAGGTCGTGTACGAAGTTCAACTTCTTGTTTTTTGAGACTTAAACCACCTGATAACAAATAAATATTCATTTATTAAAGTTATTCTGTTGTGATATTACATAAAAATTGGAAATTTTTTTTATTCTACATACCAACACACAGACTAATTACTATATCAGTAAAGCAGGCCAATTTAGTTGAAACATTGTGACATTGAATGGCCAATTCACGTGTTGGTGCAAGAATTAAAACTCTCACAGTGGGATTTTGTTTTGGTCTGTATAATAAACGTTCCATAATAGGAACCAGAAAAGCAACAGTTTTTCCTGAACCTGTTATAGCTCCTCCACAAATATCTTTACCTGTAAGGGAAACAGGAATTGTTTGCATTTGGATAGGAGTTGGTTGAATATATCCTAATTTGCTAAGGCCTTTAAGAATAGGTCGTGAAAGATTCATCATTTGAAATGATTCACTTTTGATTATTTCTGATTTGTCGGCAAAATAATCTTTCTTTCGCTAATAACATAAATAACATAAATAAAATAAAATAAAATAAAATAAAATCAATTATTTCAATTTGTTAAATTAATTACCTGTTTTTCATATTCATTTTCTTCTTCACTATCACTACTAGCATTATCATAATTTTCATTATCATTTTCATTATCATTTTCATCATTATTTTCATCATTATTCGATTCATCTTGTTCTTGTTCCGTCTTACTCCAAGAATTATCTGAATTATCTGAATTATTTTCTTCTTCATTTATATATTCCCGAGCACCAGCACCAAAACCATCAAAATCTAAGATAATGGAGATAATGTAAAATTAATTAAACAATAAACAATATGAAATAATTTATGCTAATAAAAATGTGTAGTATAATAGCTTTACCGAGATCTTCATCGTTAGAATCAATAGAAATTTGATCATTTTCATTTCCCGAAGATTCATCCTCTTTATTAAAATCGTTATCTTTTCTATTTGTCACATTATTATTGATGATTTTGACTTCATTATCTTTATTTATTTCATTTAAATCTTTAATCGGTTTACTCTCTACTTTTCAAAGATCGCTATTAGAAATTATTTATCACATTTCGTAAAACTATATATATGTGTGTGAAATTAATAGATTCGCCTACTTTTTTTATTCACGATCGATCCATTAATTAATATTTCATCTAAATTTGATAATTTATTTCTTTCTATATCTTTACGTTTATTTTCAATTATTTCATCAAGCGTCTTTGAAGAAATCTTTATAAAAAAAAATGAAATTAAGATTACGAGACTTAATATATAATATGTAAAAAGAAAAATCATTTCGATAAGATAACTTACAGTACTTTTATCTTTTAACCCTGCCTTTGCAGCTTTAAAATCCCAACCATTACCAAAATCAATATATGAACTAATACCATCAATATAAAAACTAAAATCTGGATTTATAAGATCATTATTTTCAAATGAGCCTTTGTTCTTAGAGGACTTTTTCCGGGTTTTCAAATCGCTAACGATTATGTCCTCCGAGGGAGCTTCAAAATCATCTTCAATAGTAGTAATAAAGCCTTCCATTCTTTATATTAAAGCATCAAATCTTAATAACCTTTATTACTTTGTAATAAAGATATCACATTTGATTGGATGATAAAATATTATTTGATATTCAAAAATTTTTTTTCAACTGTTTGAACTTTGTATATTTATTATATTTATTTGTTTTTTTTTGTTCCCTATTATTACTCGTTTTAATTACTTCCCATTAAATTACTTTAAAGCCCATTATTATTTCTTAAAAAAAAAGGGGTAATTAAAAATGACCAAAGAACACCCTTGGTGGGGAAATCTCGGTGGTCCAATTCAAAGGGGCATCGTAACTTATTCGACTTCACCATACGAACAAAGAGCTTTCGCTGGTGTATGGAGGCACGGAATTTTTAATGTTTATAGACGTACCGCTGCTCAAGCTCCTTACGTTGGAATTCCTATTGTCATTGGAGTTCTGATTTATCACTTTGAAAAGAAACGTCATGATTTTTTGAATTCAAAAGCTGGTCATGAAGAATTACTCAGATTAACTAAATAATTTCATCTCAGATAATGACAATAATAAAAATAATAAATTAATAATAATAATGAATATGAGAAGGTAAAATTATAATTAACTTTACAATTGTGCCAGATTTAAATAGCATTAACAAGTCTAATATATTCAAAATATTTGGTTATTTTTACAAATTACGAAATATATTATAAAGCCTAATATAGAAAAGTAAAAAGCTATACATACATAATAAAGCTTTTTTTTTTTTTTAAAAAAAAATAAAAGAAAAATTGACAAGAATTGACAAGAATGAAAAGTTTAGTGATTTAATGTGAATTTTGAAAAATAAACCAAATTAAAACGATAAAAACTTTTAGTAAAAAAAAAAAAACTAATTTGTCTTTATGCTATTTCCAGAATTTGGTTTATTTATTTTTATTTTTTTTCAATTTTTTTTCAATTACAATCGAAGCTAAGACAAAAAAAAAAATAAAATGTTCTTTATGCAAGATAATTATAGATGCGCCTATATATAAGATAATAAAATAATCAAAATAATTAAAATAATTAAAATTGTATTCAAATCCCATTAAAAAAACACGTTCATTTAAATATAGATTTATACAAACCTATCACCAGGCGCCCGTTCTAAATATTCTCTTTCGATTAATGCTTCGATCCGTTTTTTGATCATAGCAGGGTTAGGAGTAAATCTTGGCTGTAATTGTCTTGTTGTTTCCGAAATCAGAAGGTTATGTTCCATGGTTTTTCTATCTTTCATAATTCTCACAATTGCTGCTTCAGTTTGATGTTTCCTTGCTTCTTCAACTTTTTCTCGTGTATCTTTTCTTTCACCTTCCGTTTCAACTTTACTTGCCACTGTTTGAATTTTAATTCGTTGATACGGAGCTGTAAAATCTTCATTAAAATAAAACTTGTCTCCAGCATTTATTTCTCTTCCTTTGGGTTCCTTTAGAAGAATTTTATATTTAGCACATGCTAAAGATTGAAGATTACGTTTTAGATCTACCTCAGGAATATCACTTTCTCCTTTTATTGTCTATCAACAAATTATTTAAAAATAATTAATTAAATAATTAAATAATTAATTAAATAATTAATTAATTAATAATTAATTAAATAATAATTAATTAAAAATAATTAATTAAATAATAATTAATTAAAAATAATTAATTAAATAATAATTAATTAAAAATAATTAATTAAAATAATTAATTAAAAAAAAAAATAATTATATATATAAATAATTATATAAATAATCATAAATTATATTATATTATGAATTATGGATATTAATTATTAAGTTTTAAAGAATAAAAGATTTAAAAATACCTCATATGATAAATCTTTTCCTGGTGGTACATCATTAAACATTAGAAGTATCACCATTTGATACGTTGATACATTAATTTCATGTTTCTTTGTGTTGAAGTTAGCACGAATATCTGCGGTTCCCTGTGAAATCACGAATGAATTAAGAATTAATGAAATCAAAAGAATGAAAGAATGAACTCAAAAGATACCATATTGGATTGCCATGTTAATCTTCTTCCACTATGTCGTCCAAGGTAAAACCGTTGGAACGCTTCACAAGCTCTAGTTATTTCTGCTGGGAAATTGCATCGTGGACTTGCTGGCATGTTCATCGGCCAGAATGTGGATGTAAGAACAGTGACATTTAAATCTAATTTAGGTCGCTAATAAGAATGACAAATGAAAAGGAAATAAATTAATTATTTGATCTTCAAAATAATAATAATAATAATAATAATAATTAACTAATTAATCTTCTTGATCTTACTTCTAATACAGATTTATCTAGATATTCTTTAAAGTCTGACATTGTATCTGTAGAAATTCTCATATCATTAAACATTCCTTCAAGTTTTGAGGTAAATTGATATCCACACTCAATCTAGAATATGACAAAATGAATATATAAATTTTATTACAAATGTAAATTATACCAAATTATAGAATATTAAAGAGTTAGCTGATTGACATACACACCTTGAGTTTTCCTATCATTCCTCGCTCCGCGTCATCACTTACACTTCTTCCAAGCAATAAACGCTTGGCCAAATGTTGCTTGTAATATCGTTCGAAAACATCTTTTTCACTAATAAAACGAAACAGCGTTATTGTTTTATCCAAAACACTATCAACTTCTTCTTCAGTTTTCTAAAAATATAATTGAAAATAAATTATATCAATTTTAATGATTTAATGATTTCTAATGGTAAAAAAAAAGTAAAGAAAATGACAAATTATAAAGTTTACCCCTTTTAATCCTTTCTTTAAATTATCATCAATAAACAATGATATAAACTCAGGGGATTTAGGATTTTTATTAATAAAATATTCGAAAGCCTTACAAAGTGTAGAGAGTAGATTGAATTAATTGATTGATTAAATTTTTACTTATTCAAAAAAAATATATAAATAATATATATTTAAATATTTTCATACTTCATTAAATGCGGTTTGAAATGATTTATCATTGGATAAAGCCAAACTTTGAACCTTATCGAATTTATCTTTAAGATCCAAAACTTCTTGTACCCATCGTATTGCCACTGATGTGCCGGTTTGAGATTTATCTCCACCTCCACCATCCGTGGATGTAGTTGAAGTATTATTATTGCTACCACTGGATACAGTTTCATTGATCGCTTTTCCAAGCTTTCGAATATAATTGCTAATAGCAGATTTCATTTCTTCATGACCTCGTGAAACTCGCCCGAATAATTTATACATTCTTGCGAGATCTGAATTTTAATTTGTTATTATGTCATTTGTTTTGGAATCTCTTTTAATCTCTTTTATATCTTAGAAATAAATTACGTACCATCCATTTTTTCATTTCCTAACATGGGAATTAAACCAGAATTTTCCATCTAATAAATATGTAAAATAATTAATATCCGCGAATAAAAGAATGAAGAATAAAAGAATGAAAAATGAAAGAATGAAAGTTTAAAAAAAAAGATTTTCCGAATAAATAAAAATTTATCATTACATCAATGACTGTCTTGAGATGTTTTGAAATAAGTTCTTCCTCGACAATACTTCTAATTTTTTGTTCCGTTGATTGTGATAAATAATGACGCACCCTTTGTTCTTCTTCGATCAGGCGTTTTTCAACCTAATGCATTGCAAATAATAATTAATAATTAATAATTAATAATAATAATAATAATAATAATAATAATAATAATAATAATAATAATAATAATAATAATAATAATAATATACTATTTAAAAATACTAACTATAATAACCAACCTTTTTCATATATTCCGGAGCATCACATTCTCCAACCAACATTTGACCTTCCACACGATAATATTCAGCACTCGTTTCCAAGAATTTCCCTTCAAAATCAATAGAATAAACAGTTTCTCTGGTAGATGCATCAACCAATTCAAGTAACATGTCCATTGATGCTTTCACACTGGAACGATCAATAATTTCATTTTCACGTTCAAGTAAAATTTGTTGTAAAAGTACATCCAACAAATGAATTTGAATTGGATATTTTTGTGATCGCACAATAGTATCCCTAAAAAGTTCCAATCCCAAATCATAGACCGGTGGAACATTTGCAGATTTAGCATATACTCGATCCTTTGGTTATAGGAGGTGCATATATTAGATTTGATTTGTCCTTAATTATGCTTTATATATATATATAGATATATATATAGATATATATTCTTTTTTAATTATGTATGAGAAGAAATTTCTCATGAATGATATATTGAATAAATATACAAGTATATCAAATAATTATAATAATGATAATAATGATGATGATAATAATAATAATAATGATAATAATAATAATAATAATATAATAATAATAATAATAATAAAATAAAAATAAAAATAAAAATAAAAATAAATAAATAAAAAATTAAATTCTTTAGTACCTACCATATACATAAGAATATCTCTAATCATAAGCATACAAGTTATGTGATCTTCCCAAACATTTTTCAATACTTTTAAGAAATTTGCTCCTCCAACACCATTAACGGGATTTGTTTGAGAACTACTACTGGCACCTGATAAAGGGAAATTTGGTACGATTTGTGCGACAGCTACTTCCTCTAGGTGTTGAGTGATAACTCTTTTCACTCCTTCGTATAACTTGTCACCATTTTTATGAAGGACCATGTTATAAGCATTACGATATAGTTCTTCAAAACTTAAGATCGAAGCATTTTTTTTATGAATTTCTCGAATGGCTTGAGCTAGACGTTCCCAATTCTCGTTAAATTGACTATCAGCGGCATTCTGGAAACGATTTCGAATCATGTTTGTTGGTTCAAGAAAGGGTTTATTTTAAAATAATTAAAAAAGAGTTTTCACATGGTGTGTAAGAACAAAGAATAAAATCTTTTGGAAAGTCTACAGAAGTATATTTTTTTTATATAAACTTTCGACAAATATTATTGGTTGACTAAATGATATAGTAGTTGGTAGTAGTAGTAGTAACAAAATCAGTTCCGGTCACTACACTCGAATCTCGCAAAGCTACCATTGTCAACCGAAAACCATCAGTGTTTGTGTTAAGGACAAGAGCTTGCTGAATATAAAACAACTGGGTTATAGCAAACAAGCTCTTTTAAACTTTTTATGAGTCATACTAACTATAAAGTGAAAACTAGAAATTAGACTTACAGATTTCTTTGGTGGCTTTATTCTTGATTTTTGATTAGTTCTTCGTGAACTCATGTTGTTTTTTTTTTTTGTATTTATATAGAAAATAAATATAACTGTTATTTTTAGGGTTTATGAAGTTTATATTAATTTATAAGTAGAGAATTTGTCAGACTTAACACGTTATGTTTATAAACAATATTAGAAGTTCGTTTTTTTTTTTTTTTTTAGAAAAAACTGTCGATGGATGATTTGGGAAGTGATATGAGAAGATAAGGAAAAGAATTAAAAGAATTATAGGAAGAGGAAAGGAAAATGAGGGTCGGCGAAAGTCAATTCCGATTTCTGCGGGTGTGTGTCATATATATATTTATATTTATATTTAAAATATTCAAATTTCAATTGGTTAATATTAAGTGTTCAAAAAAATATTTAATTAACTAAATAATTAACTAAAGCTAATTTATATAATTTAGATAATTTAAATAACTTAGATAACTTAGATAAATTTAGTGAGAAATAAATTAAATAAATTAACAATAATAATAATGTTCAAATATATCTTGTTAAGTTGTTTAAGTTGTTAGATTCTAATTGAATATCTTTCTTGTGAAGGTCAGGAATATCACCTGATTTATCAAAGTTACTTGTAAAGTCGCTAAAGTATCGTTTTTGAGACACCTATGGTTATTTTTTGATATATCAAATAGGTGTGACAAAAATGGTCATTTTTTTGATATGTTTATAATTGTTTTATTTATAAATGCATCAAAAAAAATAACTATTTTGTCACATGAAATTTGATATATCAAAAAAAAATAACCATAAATATATCAAAAACAATACCTTTGCTGTAAAGCCAGGAATATCACATGATTTATCAAAGTTACTTGTAAAGTCAGTAATATCACATGATTTGTTAAAAATAAATTTAATAAATAAAATAAGTAAATTAAAAAAAAAAAATAAAAATACATATAAATTAATCTAATTTTGTTCAGGATCAATTAGAATTTCATTTAATTTTCCACCGCCACCCGCTATTACTCGAACACGAGTTCCCATCTCAAATGGATTACCATCATAAGCAACAAAATTTGCACGATTTCCTTTTATCATAAGATTGTTATTATAATTATTATTATTATTTAAACCAAAAATTTTCATTAAATTCCAAGTAATAAATCCCACAGCATCCTTTTCAGAAATTAAACCTTTTGAATTTTTTAAAGCCCAACCAGCATCCCAAACCAAATTTTTAGCCAGTCCCGGATCATCCACACCAATTCCTATTAATACTTTATTAGCATAAAGTATATCAATTCCGGTATCATTTGTAATGGGAGAACCGACAAGTACATTTTGAGCGGACCATAAATGAGGAGTGGGACGAGGTGGTAATAATACAACAGGAATTTTACGACGAGATAATTCGGTAGCTAATAAATGAGCTTCGGAACCACCTAAAATGACTAATCGTAAATGACCACCAAGTTCTTTAATTAAATCATTTAATTTTATCAAGGAAGCTATTTCATCTTTGTTGTGAGTCTCCACAATTAAAGGAATTTCACCATGAGCAGTTTTACAGAATAGATTATTTCCACATACACGATGGTGTAGATTTTTTGTCAAGAATTTTCGAAGAAAAGCGATTTGACCAGAGACGGTTGGAATTTTTTCTGACAATTTTAATAATATTTAATAATATTTAAAAATCAAGTTGAAATTAATAATAAAATTAATAAATAAAATAAAAATAATTTTAAAAAATTAATATCGAAATTAATAATAAAATTAAATGTTAAAATTAATATATTAAAATTAATTATAATTTGTGAATTAAAGAATTACCATTTTTGAAGGGAATTCCTATTTTAGCGTGAAGTGCAACTACATCATCTAAAATAACAGCTTCATTATCATTTTCGGGATCAAAATCGAAAACTAAAATATCAATAAACATAATATTTCAATATTATTAATATTATTAAAGATTATATTAAATAAAATAAAATGAAATAAAATAAAATAAAATTAAAATAAATGAATTGTACCAGTTTGAGCACCTGTTTTAAAAGCAACAGAAATTCCACTTATCACTCCGTCTTTTGAAATCGGAGCGGTTATTGTAGTAAGTACTCCGGCTTTATATGCGACTTCTAAATGTTTTCCACCTAATTTTAATCCATCCACAGCGTAAATAATATCTTTATAACGATGAGGACTATTAATAGTTCCATCTTGAGTATCTTCTTCCGCATTTATTTCTGATAATCCAAGATTTGATCCAACTGCTATGACACCCTATTAATAAATTATTATAAATATTAAATATTATATTATATATTATTATAAATATTAAATATTATATATTATTATAAATATTAAAATATTATATATTATATATTATTATAAATATTAAATATTATATTATATATTATTATAAATATTAAATATTATATATTATTATAAATATTAAAATATTATATATTATATATTATTATATGTAATAAATTTACCGGTAACACGTATCCATTATTTAAATCAATAATTTCGTATGATGAAATTTGATCAGGTGTAGCAGTACAATTTATATCGATACATTCTATAATTCCATCCTTAACTAAAATATTAATCTTTTCTTCCATATTAAAGGAATGAGAAGCATCGATAACATTATTTTCGTCAATGTAAACTTTTCCAACATTTTTTATAATAATAGATGATGATGTGCGAGGTTTTCTTGAATCATTGATGTTATTATTATTATTATTATTATTATCATCATCATTTTTTTTATTATTTAAAATTTGAGATTTATTAGATTTATTTAATTCATCTTCTAGAATAGATAAACTTGTGTTAAATTGTGGGATACCATCAATATAAACTTCCAAAGGTGTTGCACCAAGAGAAAGTGGATATGAATCCCAAATCTATATAAAATATAAAATATAATGTATAATAAGAATATAATAAGAATAATAAAAGATAAGGATATATAAATAAATAAAAATATTAAATTATAAAAATATAAAAATGAAGATATTTTAATTACCACAATATCAGCATCATATCCAACAGATATTTGTCCAATTCTATGATCTAAACCAAGAGCTTTTGCTGGTACAGATGTTACTGCAGCAATAGAGAGATTTTCATCAAGACCATAATGATGGGCTTTCGCTGCTTCAAATATTAAATGTTGCTATAAATTAATAAAAATATTAATTGAATTAATTAATTACTATAATTCAAAAAAAAAAATATTTAATTAATTATTTATTTATTATAGAATGGGTTTATCATTAATTTATTGCCCACAAATTAAAATAATAATTAAATTAAAAATAATAATTAAATTAAAAATAATAATTAAATTAAAAAATAGATTAAAAAAATAATTAATTACAGCATTTGTGATCGGATGATCAGATTTCAAAGCTACGGGAATATTTGCTTCACTCAAGATTTTAGGTGATTTAGTACTGGCTTGAAATGCTTCTTTTTTATAACCCCATAAATCCGAAAATGTCGCGATAGTAATATTACTATTCGCACGTTTAATAATTTCGGGAATACGATAAGCATCTAATGCGTGATGTAAGGATGCAATATTAAAATCGAATTCCCATGAATGTCTTATCATTGCTTCTATATCTTGTGTCTACATTATTATTATAATTATTATAATTATTATTATTAGTATAATTATTATTATTAAATCAAATCAAATATTCAATATTATTATAACTTTTATACCTCATAGCAATGAATATTTAATATTGCATCACCTCTCAATAAAGACAATAAACTTTCATATTGAACATTTTCAGGAAAATGAACATTTAATTGTTCATTCTTATTTAATCTAATTGCTGCATCACACCAATCATCTTGTTGTATTTTTAATGTTTGAGCTTCTGCAAAACGTTTTCGTAATAACCAAGATTCTCCTAAACGAGTTAATGGCATCATTGCTTGTTTTCGACCAAAATAATTCTACATAACATTAAAGAATATTAAAGTACATTAAAGAATATTAAAGAACATTAAAGAATATTAAAGAACATTAAAGAATATTAAAGAACATTAAAGAACATTGAGAACATTGAGAATAAATATCTAATAATATTAAGTGATTCTTTTAATTACCTTTGGATTTTCGCCACAAGCCATTTTTAAATATCTCCAAACTTTTTCTTCATCTTGATTTACATTATAATAAATATTCATGTCATCTACTGAAAGTGTATCAACTTGTCGTAATTTAATTACATGACCTTCTCCACCCATTACGTTTGTACTTCCCGGAATAACTAGAATATTTATTATTATTATAATTATTATTATTATTATTCTTATTATTATTCTTATTCTTATTATTCTTATTGTATTTTGTGAACTCACTTACTCAATGAAGTTGTTACACCACCAGAAGAAATTATTCGAAGAGCTAGAAAAAAATAAAATAAAAATAAATTATAAAAAAATAAACTAAAAAAAAATAAATTCAAATTATAATAATAATAATAATAATATAAAATCACTAACCAGGATCACTTGGACTAAATGCATCTTTAGCGCGAACGTAAGGTGTAATTGGATCAGTTCTTTCGTTTATGTCATATGTACCCATTAAATGAGGCCATGAATCAAGTCCTGCATGACTGAAATTGAAATAGATATAAATTATAAAAATTATAAAAATTCTATAATCATAATTACAAATTCTTATTTCTTCATAAATAAATAAATCAAATAAATTCCTAAATTAAAAAATACCTATGCATATCAATCAATCCAGGAGTAATATATTTTTTCTTTACATCGATAATTATCACTTTTTCTTCTTCTTCACATAAAATATTTTGACCAATCTCTTCAATAATACCATTTCTTAAAATTATATCACTTAAAAAAGTTTCTCCTAATCCATTTAAAATTTTTGCATTTTTTATTATATAAGTATTTGTACCGGGAACATATCTTGGATTATTATATCGACGCCTAAATTTATCATTATTATTATTATTATTATTATTATTATTATAATTGCTATTAGGTTTTTCACGTTTTATAGCTGCACATTTTGCTAAACCTTCTTGATATGACTGAGAAGATATTCCATAAGAATATTGATTTTTATGACGGTCATGAGAATTTACATGAATATTAAATATATTCCAAAGAGTGGTAAATAAAACTAATAAACATATCGTTATTAATAATCGTTTGATATCTTTAGAACTGAAAGAAAAAAGTTGAGAAGAAAAGCATTTTTGATTTAAGAGTTCTCTGTTATTCGTGTTATTCGTGTTGTTCGTGTGGTTGTTATGGTGACGTTTATTATTATTTATTTCTTTATAAAAATTGTTGCCTTTCATACTGAATACTTGAAAAAATAATTCTTGAAAATTCTTGAATTGATATATTGTATCATATGATCAAACACAAGAGATTGATAATGAATTGATTTTTAAGTTCAAGATTTTGGTAAAAGTGGGACCTTTGAATTGTAATTTTTGAGAGTTCTCTTGATTTCGTTTACTTGGATTTCGTAGAATTCACCACTCACATCGCGAAGTTCACATCCGTGATGCCAACATGACTCCTAAAATCTGAACCGATAACGATAATCAGATTATGGATGAATGTGTGTAAATCCTGTACAACGGTCATTATACTTATTATTATTATTATTATTTATTTCATTATTAAGGTGAATGTGATAAAAGTTTATGGAGAAATGAAATTAATTTTTTTATGGCGAAGATAAATTCAGAAATAAATAATTTCATATATATTTAATAATAAAAAATCTTGATAATTTCATTGAAGCTTGGTATAGAACTTGGCAATTAATATTAATTGTAAAATTCAATTTCTTTATTTCGACTATTACTTCTTCAGATGGTGGAACGATTGTTTTATCATGAAAATAAATAAATTTTTAATAATAATAAACATTGAAATATTAAATCGATCAGAATATTATATTTGAATCTTAGGAGAATTCTGTATATTTAATTTATCATGTTGGTTAAAAATAAATAATATATATATATTTGTCTTTTTCATTATTATTCATACGATAACATATTCATTTACATTCGTTTTTTTCATCTTTACGAAAACGATTCATGTTCGTTATTACCCGTATTAAGTAAGCAAATAGTTAAAAGTAGATAAATACATTCCAAGTTTAGATACATTGCACCGCATATTTGCATTCTGTGACATTGACAAACAATATAATTCAATTATTGTATTTATAAGAAATTGAATTTCATCTATTTCATCTTTCCTTCAAAATTATAACTAAAATAAAAATATCAAATAAAAAAAAATATTATAAAAAGAAAACAAATAAAATAATAATAATAATAATAATAATAATAATAATAATTATAATAATTATTATTATTTTATATAGATATTTATTATTAAAAATGGCAGATTATCAAGAAACCACCACCGAAATTTCATACACAGAGTATAATGCTAATTTGACATCTCTTAATAAAGCTTCTTATCAAAAATCAAATAATCAATCATCTTTGCCTGATGGATATAATTTATTTGTTAAACCGGTAAAAGGTGGTGAAATAAAAGCCAAAATTTCAAATTGTAGTGGAAAAAAGAAAGCTTTATTGATTGGAATTAATTATATTGGAACTCAATTTGAATTGAAAGGTAAAAATTGATTTTAATAAATTGATTTTTTAATTAATTTAGGTTTATATAATTTAATACTAAAATAAAAATAATCTAATATTAAAAAAATAATCTAATATTAAAAAAATAATCTAATATTAAAAAAATAATCTAATATTAAAAAAATAATCTAATATTAAA